TCTAAGGTCCCCATAGCTATCAGTTTAAAAAGGGACTGGAATTTAGAGATCCCAAATGTAGCTCATTGCTTTTCTCTCAATATCTGTTTGCCTCCTGTGACAGTGGATTTTTTTTTTTTTTTTACCTCTCCTAACAACAACACTGCCCAAGTGATGTTGACAGACATTTTCACCCACCTGAGACAATATAAAATTTAGGAAATTCTGCATTCTACATGTTGCTTTGGAGAGTCACAAGAAAATTCTGAGAAATCCTGCAATAAGTAAATCAATTTAATTTCGCTGAACCCATGTCTCCCAAACATATCCAACCATGACTAAACCTTTTTTTCTTTTCTCTTTTGGGGGCACCCAAATGAGAGAGAGCTGCACCCATCCAACTCCTCACATTCCACTTTGGGAAGTTCCGGGTTAAGACAAGGCCTCCAGGAGCAACTGTCTAAATCCCCATGGCAGCAGGGAGCGAGGAATGGTCAAATGTCCACCCTGGAGAGCGGCTGCTGTCCACACTGGCAGGTCGTGCTACACCACCGGGCCCAGGGCCACGGTATGTCAAAGGGCCCGGGACCCACCAGTGAAGAAGCTGTAAAGCAGGGGCATGGCTGTACCCTGGTCCTTTCTCCACCTGCTGCTCGGGCGCTCCTCTGCAGGCATGCCACAGAATGCAGTTCACCCTGACTGCCATGGGAGGAGGTACCTGGAATCCTGTTTACCATGCAACATTAGTCTGCACCCACTTTGAATTCTACAATGACAGGAATGACAAATTCTTCCTCCACTGCAGCAAATGCCATCACTCAGTGGGGATAGAGTTCCAAAACTGACAACACAACATGGTGTGTGTACCTCTGTGGGGGCAGTGTGTGCGTTTACAGACCCCAAAGGGGCTGACAGTTAAGCAAGCTCTGCTATGGTCCAGGAGACACCTGTGTTCAGACGCATGCAGCCCTAATGCCTAGACCCTGGAGTAGATGCCAGTGCTGTCTCTACCCTTCTTTGGCAAGTCACTTACCCTCGCTGAGCTTTAGTTTCCTCTTTGGTAAAACAGCAATGTTAGTAATAGTAATAGGGTGATCAAGTTTAATACTTGCAAAGTGCTTAGACCAGTGCTTGCCTAACTCTAGGTACAATATAAGTGTCTGTTAAATAAAATAGTATCATTCACCTATAATCCCAGCTATTCAGGAGGCTGAGGCATGAGAATCACTTGAATCCGAGAAGCAGAGGGTACAGTGAGCCCAGATAGCACCGTTGTACTCTAGCCTGGGCAACAGAGCAAGGCTCTGTCTCAGAAAAACAACACAAAAAAACCCAAAAATAAAATAGTGTCATTAAGTGTTTCCCTCAACTGATAAACGTTTTCTTTCATACTAGATGGTGACATATAGCATTGGTGAAACAAGGCCCTTGCATGCCTTGCTTTAGGGCATCCTCCCCTGCGTCATGATGATGACACACAAAAGGCCTGTGCCCACACTGACTTAGCTGCCTGCAGGCTCTCCCAGCTTTCTGGCGAACTGTGGTCACAGGTTATGGAGAACCAGCTGTCACCGGTGTGTGCTAAAGATCTGGCCTCAGTGGTTATCGGAAATTCTGCAGGAAAGGAACAAGCAGGCAGGACAGGAGGCATGGCTGCAGAGTCACAGATGGGCCAGCAATTACCCTGCACACGAAGGTGTCTTCCAGGGACCTGCCAGTCCTGCTGCTGCAGGCAGCGCCTCCGAGGAGCCCCTGGAGGGGGCAGGAGAACCTGGCCCTGCCTCGACCTCACGTCCCTCAGTAATCCTTAACTCAGCTGTGAAAAACAATAAAATAAAAACTACTTGAAAAATAGATCCAAAAAAGTACCAAATAGAAACAATAAAGGGAGTTTATTGAAGCCTTGGTGATTTTTTCTTGCTATCTTTGTGATGTACTTGAAAATATCATCATATAAATATATTTCTATACTTTTTTTTTTTTTTTTTTTGAGACAGGGTCTTGCTCTGTCACTCTGACTGGAGTGTAGTGGTGTGATCTCAGCTCACTGCAGCCTCTGCCTTCCAGAATCAAGAGATCCTCCCACTTCAGCCTCCCAGGTAGCTGGGACTACAGGCATGTGCCATCATGCTTGGCTAATTTTTGTGGAGACAGGGTTTTGCCATGTTGCCCAGGCTGGTCTCAAACTCCTGGACTCAAGCAATCTGCCCACCTCGGCCTCCCAAAGTGCTGAAGAAATTTAGGCATGAGACACCATAGCTGGCCAATTTCTATACATTTTTAAAAAGACAAACAAATGCATCATCAAAAAGATTGTCTAACAAATACATTTTAAAAGACCGAGAAACTTAAAAACAACAAAGCAGATAATATATGTGAATCATGTCACAAGTGGTGGAGTAAAGGACCTGCTTTTGTTACATAAGATTAACCCTTATGCAGGCTACATAAAAAGGGATTTGCAATAATCCAATGCTCTACTGTATATTAACACTACCACAGATAGAATTTTAGAAGTCTCATAATTTATATTATGTAGTTTTTATAAAAATATCCAGGGAGCTGTTCTTAAGAATATAGGCCAAGAGGCTGGGCATGGTGGCTCACGCCTGTAAACCCAGCACCTTGGGAGGCCGAGGTGGGTGGATCACAAGGTCAGGAGATCGAGACCATCCTGGCTAACATGGTGAAACCCCGTCTCTACTAAAAATACAAAAAATTAGCCAGGCATGGTGGCGGGCGCCAGTAGTCCCAGCTACTCGGGAGGCTGAGGCAGGAGAATTGCTTGAACTTGGGAGGTGGAGGTTGCAGTGAGCCGAGATCGTGCCACTGCACTCCAGCCTGGGGAACAGAACGAGACTCCATCTCAACAACAACAACAACAAAAAGAATGTAGGCCAAGATTGGGCAGTCATGATAAATTTCTCTTTAAGCCTAAGGATGAGGGGCCCCCGCAGCTGCTGTTGGGGATGCTGGGTGTGGGGCAGGCTCTCCCACTCTCTAGCTCACACACTGTGAACACAGCAGCCTGGCACACATGCATACACATGAGGGTCCCAGACACCTGGGGCTATCAGGGCCCATCACATTGTGCAGTCTATGTGCTCAGGGAGAGATGGGAACACATAGCCTCAAGAAGCAGAAACACCAGGCCTCAGTCATGGCCAGCTCAGCTTCCGGTTCAGGGTTTGCACGCTGCTTTGAGCCTTTGCTTTTACAGTTGTTGCCTTTAAAGTTCTGAACATTTGGGGCATGGCTCCCTCTAACGAGCAGTGCACCTCTCACCTCAATGCACATCTTTAAATGTGTCTTTTTTGTCTTGTCTGTGGCAGCATACACTTGCTTCTGTGAACCACCAGATGACGTACATAGGCTAATTTTCATTTGGACCAATGTGAATGCTGATGTACAAAGGGCAATATCAAAGCAGGTCTAGTGTGTTCATCAAGTATTTCTAAACTTCCCTGATTTTAATTCCTGTTACTACAGTACTTGGGTAGGCATACTGCATCTTAAAGACTTTTTTCATGTAACGCAGGCATAATGCAATGTGAAGAAAATTATCACTGAGAGGAAAACTGTTTCCCCAAATTACGACTTACATAGACAGTAATGAGAAGCTATTAAAATAGATTTTTGCAAAATTTCTAAGCTGATCTGCTGCTTGGAGTTTTGAGATTTCCCACTGCTCTGCTATTTTCCCATTCTGTACGCACAGCACAGATTCCTGCCAAGCCTATTACAGTGAACAAACAATGTCCTCTCTGTCAGAACAGAGAATGAATAGTATCACAAAATTCTCCTCTAATGTACAGCCTACATTTCCCTCACCCCAGCCCCTTCAGAAGAGAATAACCAGGGTGAGGACTGAGGAGGAAAACAGGACTCTCCCCTGGCCAGTCGGAAACTGCCTTCCAGAACACTAAGGGCTAGGTAGTGTCAACCATATCATATTAACTTCTCAACAGAGAAAGCTGACAAGTTTATTTTCTTTTAAGGGGGATCATATGTTTTTGCATTTCTGTGTGTGTGCGTACACAAATATCTTTATAAGGAAGGAGGTGTTTCATCAGATAAAATTTTAGGTGGCGTTTCATCAGATAATATAAGACAGCTTTTAGTTACAGACTGAGCAGCGACAGGGGAACTTCATAGAAATGACACAGCAATTTGTGCTAAAATATTGGCAGCTAATTCATGAATGCCAAAGCTGACTATGAATTCGGCTGCTTCTGTTAAGCCTTTATTCCCACTAAGCTCATGATTCACAAAGAAAGCGCCTAGAGTTACTCCTCTGAAACATACAGTATCATGCTGACAGATTCTTCTTTGGTTTCTCTCTCTCTCTCTCTCTCTCTCTCTCACACACACACACACACACACACACACACACCCCTCCCCACAAGAGGCATTAAAGATATGATTTCCAAAACAAGAACTTCATGAAGCATTTCTCACAAACCAATGAAAGACTTACTAAAGGCTTACTTAGCAGGTATTTTCATAGAAGAACATGGAGTTCCTTAAAATCTTTCATACTTGTCTCAGCTGGTGTAAAATATTTTGATTTAGGCTTTCCCCTCTTGTGACATGAATGCAGCATATATTTTATTTTAACCTCTAAAGGAAACTACCCATTTTTTTGCTCATAAAGGATGAAATGTTATTTTCATAATCAAACCCCACTGGCTTTTGTGTTCATGAGTATCTGTAGCACGAAGAAAAAAGGCCAGCCTCTTCTTTCCTCCTCATTTCCCACACATTTTCCATACAGCTCAGTGAGCTCCCAGATTCTGATGGCATTCTCCTGGTAACACATTTAGAAGAGGCTGCAGGATACCCCAATAGCACTGCTTTCTTCTCTCTCTCTTTCTCTCTCTCTCTCCCTCTCTCCCTCTCTCTCTTTCTCTCATATCACTCTGGGTCTGTATGAGACTAAACAATTAAACCTTTGTGTTGTGCCACTGCCATTCGAAAAGCCTAATGGTGTGTCCCTTCATTGGTACAATGGTAATATTTACCTTGGAGGAAATGTTTGTCCCGAAGAGTATTCCAAATTCTGGCAATGTATTCCCTTTGAAATGTCGTGGTGAGAGTTCTCTCTTCTTTCTTGGCCTACAGCCAAAGAGAAGGAAAGTTAGAAAAAAAGGCAGATGGATATACACTGTGAAAGATACTTGTTCAGTTCACTGTAAAAATGCTAGTGTACTTACGCCAAACACTGAGATTTATATTCTTATATTCCTTCCTGAACAAAGCCAACTGAAATGTAGAGGCACAACTATAGTCATTAACAATTAAATTAAAAATTTCAATAAAGAAAAGTTCGTATCTCCCCATACCCCAAAAATTTTAATAAAAAAACAGCCAAGTGTCTAATCTAACACAAATCAATTGACTTGCTCTTTCCATATTTTCCCTAGTTATGCCAAGTAAATCTCTGTGTTACTACAGTGATACTAATTCAAGTAACTGTTTTCTGAATTTGAAATAAAACAAGTGATTTGTTTGAAAAGAGCATTTATACTTTTAGGTAAGGTAAGCTGTGATTCAGTTCTGAAAATTTCTTATTAGAAGGAGACTTTGGTGCAGCATGAACAGTGTGACCTGGACGACATGCAGATCTAGCCCCGAGTCGTCCCTTCACATATTCTGCTGTGGAAATGGGGAAGACGTTCAGAGAAGGAGAGGATACATGGGCGACTTCCTTTGCTCTCCCTCCTGATTCACCAGCTCCCCAGTCCTACCTGTTGTTCTGCTGTTTTTAGTGCCTAGCCCTTCCTCCAGCTCCCCTTCCTCTCTAGTTCTCTTCCCATCCTCAAATAAGTCTCTCCCATATTGAACACCTACTTTACATAAGACACCATGACAAGTGCAGTGTGAAAGGGCGAGGGGTAGAGGGACGAAATGAACGAATGAATGAACGAATGAACGGATGAAAGAACGGCTGTGTTTATACTCTAAGGAGAATATCCTGGCTGTTGACTAAGATTCAGAACCTCTCAATCATTTTAACCAACTGAGGCATAATTCCCGATTTCCAACCTAATGAACGGAGTGGAACATGAGCCTTCTAGATTTGCATCTACTGATGTTCTTTTGTTAGAACCACATATTATCATCTTAGACTGTGTGTTGCTTTCCCTGATAGCAGAGTCAGCAGAATATTTATATTATCTTGAGGTATATCTATTGTTTCCTTGACAGTTTGAAAGTGAGAAACTGCTGCCTTTTGTTTGCCACTGCATTTAGCTACATTATTATTTTCTTTTAATAAGTGTAAAAAGACCAGAACAAGACACACAATCATGGGCTGTCTTCTTCTAGGCCGACTCCAGGTCTTTCTGCTGTCAATCACATCAACTAGGAGACAGCGCTTCGCTGCATGCCGGGCTTGATAGACAACTGAGTTCCCAAGCCATCGTTCCACTCTTTTATTAGACTTCAAGTCAAGCCTCCTTCTGAACCCCTGCCATGCAGATATATTTAGATGTGGATTCCAATCATAAGCCTCTCCACTTTTCCTTGTCATCATGGTCAATCCAGGGAATTCTCCTGAATTGGTCAGAAATATGAGCAAGATTTAATTACCTAAATCAAATTGCTGCAGTTAAAAGGTAAACTTTAAAGAATTAACAATTTTTTTTTTTAGAAAAGGTCAAATTCTATTAATGTGTATTAAAAATAATGTTTGGATGTGCTTTCTCTGTTACCAGATATGAGCATAATCCTGATTTGAAAACTGGAGACAAGATTTGACAGTTAATTTAATAATATAAAAATGGTGCACAGTTTTGAATTTTCAGAATATACATTTTGTGACTTAAAAATATTCCAAGAAAACAAGGTCATCAAGACGCTGTGGTGCTGTCATAAGGAAAGACACATAAATCAATACTTTAGCATCCAGGAATAAACCCATAGATTTATATTGCTTCAATTATATGGCCAATTGAGTTTTTGGCAAGGGTGCCAAGTCTATTCAATGGGGAAAGGACAGGCTTTTTCAACGAATGGTTCTGGAACAACTAGACAGCCATATATAAAAGAATAAAGTTGGACCCTTAACTCAGACTACAGAAAAAGTTAATGCAAAATGGATCAAATACCTAAATGTAAGAGTGTAAACTACTGTTAGAAAAGAACCAAAGGGCTAAATCTTCATGAGCTCAGATTTGGCAGAGGCACGTGACCCCAAAAGCACAAGCCAACTAGAGAAAAAACAGATAAACTGGACTTCATTAAAATAAAAATATTTGTAATTTAAAGGACAATATTAAGATAATGAAAAGACAACCCAAAGAATAGGAGAAAATATATGCAAATCGTATGTGATAAGGGATTTTATATATAGAGAATATATAAATAACTCTTATAACTCAATAACAAAAAGACAACCCAACCAAATATAGGCAAAGGATCTGAAGAGACTTTTCTCCAAAAAAGATACACAAATAATCAATAAACACATGAAAAGATGCTCAACATCAGTAGCCATCAATAAAGTGCAAATCAACCACAATGAGATACCACTTCGTACCTTCCTAGTGATTTACACTTGGCCATAATAAACATGTCTAAGCTAATAACAAGTGTTCAGAGGATGTAGAGATATCAGAACCCCCATGCCCTGCTGATGGGAATGTAAAATGACACAGCTGCTTTGAAACAGTCTGGTAGTTCCTCAGAATGTTAAACAGAGAGTTACCATGGGACCCAGCAATTCCACACCCAAGTATATAGCAAAAGAAATGAAACTACACAACCACACAAAAACTTGCACATAGATATTCACAGAAGCATTATTTGTAATACCAAAAGAAGTAGAAACAATGTCCCTCAACTGGTGGATGGGTATACACAAAATGTGGTATATCTATACAAAAAAAAATTCAGCCATAAAATAGAATAAAATACTGGTGGCCGGGCGCGTGGCTCAAGGCCTGTAATGCCCGGCACTTGGAGGCGAGATGGCGGATCACGAGGTCAGGGGATCGGAGGACCATCCCTGGCGTAACACGGGTGAAACCCCGTCTCTACTTAAAAATACAAAAAAAAGAAACTAGCCGGAGCGCGTGGTGGCGGGCGCTGTATCCCAGTACTCGGAGGCTGAGGGCAGGGAAGGAATGGCGGGAAACCCGGGAGCGGCGTTGCGAGTGAGCTGAGACCGCACGCCACTGCACTCCAGCCTGGGCGGCAGAGCGAGAACTCGGTCCAAAAAAAAAAAAAAAAAAAAGAATAAAATACTGGTACATGTTACAACATGGATGAACCTTGAAAACATGCTAAGTGAAATAAACCAGTCACAAAAAACATATTATATGATCCTGTTTATAAGAAATGTCCAAAATAGGCAAATATATAGAGATAGAAAGCAGATTTATGTTCCTTAGGGCTGGGGGAGAAGGGGTGATGAAAATGTCCTAAAATTGATGGTTGTACTTTAAATGGATGACTTGTATGGTATGTGAATTGCATCTAAATAAAGTTCTTATGAAAAATAATATTCCACAGATTTGGATGTTATAAGCATCAGTTATTTTTCGGATCAATCTTAAAAAAAATGGCAAACCCCAAAATAATTTTAGCTGGAATCATGGGAGTTGTGACACTAAGCAGATAACCTAGCTGCACTGCAAACTGTCATGCCCTGACTGGGGCAACTTGAGTATAATTCTGATAGACCAACCACTCCTTTAGGTCTCCTTTCATGTTGCTGATTATTTCCAAGGGTGATAGAGATAATTAGGTTATCGGGGTATAGAGATAACAAGGTTGATCACTGCATATGATTATTGACCCAATCAAACAGAAATCCCATACTTTCAATATAGATTTCTTTTTCCACCGAATGGAATTTTAGGACTTCTGATACTGATGATCTAGTCAAATGTGACCTCTCCCTGAAACCCACATATCCTGTCCATGGAATGCCACGCTCAGCAGTTTCTGTTACACCTGGCTCTCTGACAGTTTTCATGAGGACGGTTGGCGACTTCTTAATACTGATGATGACATTCACAAGAAGGCCCAAGCAAGTGAACTCCAGGAGTTCAGGATGTGTTTTTACCAGACTAACCTGAACTGTTCTGGCTAAAGCCACTCAGCAGAACTGAAATAGAGCTCCATTCTGGGACACTGAAACCCTGAGGGATGAGATGGGCACCTGACAGATGGCCTGAGCTGAGCCCCTGCTGGCAGTGCTGAAGAGGGTCTAAGGAAAGGAGTGTTTTCTCAAGGTTATATCCTAACAGTCTCTTCTGGGGAAGGAGTAGTGATGTTGAGAGTGTATCTCCCTGCTATCTGCGTAGACAAATACAGGGATTGAGGAGAACAGACTTCAGCAATCTACTCCAAATTCATGTCTGACTTTTAAAAACTGTACCCGGAGGCAAGATAACGACTCAGTATGAGACTAGAATCATGAAGCTCAATTATAGATTCTCAAATTTAAAAGAAGCTTAAAGGTCATCCATAAATCAACCCCACTTGATACTTGAAGCCTTTCTACAATGTCCGTGACATCTCATCTATAACTGCAATGTCAAAAGGACTTGGTTAAACAGAACAGTTCAATGTACTGAGCACGGAATGAATCACAGTGCTTAGAATATAGTAATTGCTCAATATTTATTCATTGATTGAGTGAATTCATTTAAAAAAATCAGAGTAGGCTCAAGGATGTTGCTATAATAAAACCTCTCTCACTCACAGTCCCTGAAGACAGAGAAGAGAGTAGGATTACAGGTTGCTCAAGATTGGCATACTACTGCAGCAATATTTCCCACATGCAAACATCATTCCAGTAAATACAATACTTTATCTATGTTGCAATGGAAATAAACCGATAAACAAAACTTAGACCTGCTAATCTACCTATGCTGAATTCCCTTCCACAACAAAGGGCTTCCTCCATCCCAAGGAATCTCTTTCTGTCTCTGGGAAGTGTTGCTAAATTTGAGTTCGGAGTAAGAAAGATTCTTCTGTGCTCCAGAGGCTTAGTGGCTTCAACCTCGTTTGAGTCTTGGTTTTAACATCTAGGGCCATGCAGAACAAGTCCAATAGTTCCTCGACATGGCAACCCTTCAAATACTGGAAGACACCTATTTAAAGAA